CTGAGGAAGGCTTTCTTATCTCTCCTTGCTATTCTTTGGAACTCTGCATTCAAATGTGTATATCTTTCCTTTTCTCCTTTGCTTTTCGCTTCTCTTCTTTTCACAGCTATTTGTAAGGCCTCCTCAGACAACCATTTTGCTTTTTTGCATTTCTTTTTCTTGGGGATGGTCTTGATCCCTGTCTCCTGTACAGTGTCACGAACCTCCATCAGTAGTTCATCAGGCACTCTATCAGATCTAGTCCCTTAAATCTATTTCTAACTTCCATTGTATAATCATAAGGGATTTGATTTAGGTAATACCTGAATGGTTTAGTGGTTTTCCCCACTTTCTTAAAGTGTTTGGTGTACCTCAAATGACTCTGCAAAGTACTCATATGAAAGATTTTTAAAATCATGATAAAATGTGATATGATGTACATTCTAGTTTAATAGATGTTTTCTATGATTTCATGGTTTTGATATCATCAGTCACCATTTTCCTTCCTTTCTATGTCATTTCTTACATACTTAGAAACATTTAGTTATGTTCTTACAGGTGAAACTGATTGTGTTAACTTGTTATTGATTTCTTTAAAACAGATTAGGAAAGATGCTTCTTTCAGTGTATTTTTGTATAGTATACTTAATGTAGAAATGCATGTTAAGTCTTATTACTAAATATCTCTGCTTTAGACCTTTGCATTGCAGCTATAATTAAAAAATGCTACCGCATTACACTGTCACTGAAGAGCCGAACCTTAGATGAAGAGACAAATGTATTATGTGCAATCCTTTACAGCAATCACAACAGAATGGGCCGCCATAAGCCCCATTTGGCCCTCAGACAGGTAAGGAGAGAGCCCTGTATTTAAGATAAAACATTTTTACTTGGTGAAGATGGAGATTACACTGCTGCTTAACTTTTGTTATTTATGGAAATTGAAGTAAATTACTTGTGATTTACTTGGGCTTTCCTGATAGCTCAGTTGGTAAAGAATCCACCTGCAATGCAGGAAACCTTGGTTTGATTCCTGGGTTGGGAAGATTCGCTGGAGAAGGGATAGGCTACCCACTCACTCCAGGATTCTTGGGCTTCCTTTGTGGCTCAGCTAGTAAAGTATCTGCTTGCAATGCGGGAGACCTGGGTTTGATCCCTGGGTTGGGAAGATCCCCTGGAGAAAAGACAAGGCTACCCACTCCAGCATTCTGGCCTGGAGAATTCCATGGACTACAGTCCATGGGGTCGCACAGAGTAGGACACAACTGAGTGACTTTCACTTCACTTTCACTTGTGATTTTTCAGTGTTCAGCCCACAATCACATGTGAGCTTTCATTTTTTTTTTCCCCCAGAAAGCATTTCAAAAAACAGTCTGTATTAGAAAAGAACTATGTTGATTCTTTCCCAATCTTGTTTATAGTAGGTAGATAATTATGAAAAATATTCTTCATTATATACAATCTATAACAAATTACCACGCCTTTGTCTACTTTAAAGATTGAGTGATTTGATCAAAACAAAGTGTCGGATTAAGAAACAATTTTCCTGAGCATAATCAAAATCCCCAAATCATAAAAAGAACAAAGTAGCAATTTATTTATTGCGGTGGTAAAAAATCTAATTGGCAATATATTAAATGAATATATAACAAGTTGTGTAAAGTGTTTTGTGTATCTTTTGAAGTTTAAGACAAAATTGGGTCCTCTAGCTCAGGATTACATACACAGAGTAGAGCCTTCTAAGTTAAGTTCCATATATGCTCATTTATTTGCTCATTCATTTTATTAATTCTCCAAGTATTTTTGAAACTTTTTATGTGCCAGGCACTGTGCTTTGTGCTAGAGGTGTATGGGGTAAAAAAGACCGACATAATCTCCAACCTTAAACAGATTCATGTTCTTTGGTTAGTTTTCCACTCACATTACTTAAAGCAAAAAAGATGATTTCTTCACCAAAGAAAGATTTGCGGTTATAGTCTTTCCTAAGTTTTCTCCTCTGGAGCAGGTTTTATCTCCTTCTGAGTCTTTAACTCCAAAACCAAACTTGTTATCTCAGATTGAATACATGTATTTCTCCTCCGGGCTACCAGGTTGTCAATAATTATAGTCAAGAAAAATTTGGTGTTCTGTTTTCTCTGCTTCTTTCATGTAGCTCTCCCATGCGGTCAACTGATCAATGAAAACTTTCTAGTCCCTTTTAGTTATGGCCAAACTAAAGTTTAAAACCTTGTCAGTTTTTCGTTGACTTGTAATTCTGACTGATCTTTCCTCCTTCAGTCTTTACTCTACTGTGGCATGTTCATGTGTACCAAATCTAGGTTAATCATTCTAAAACACAGCTTAATTTTTAATGGTTCTCCATTGTCCCCTGAATAAAGAGCAGACCTCTTAGCTTAACTTAGCAGATCCTTCCTGATCTGCCTCTTCAGTTTTCTTAGCTCAGGCTTCTCTATGGTCTTCAATGTCATATATGTTGTATTATAAGCACCCTGAACTCTTTGTGAGTCTTCTGACTCACCACATTGGTTCCCTCCTCTGAACCTTTGCTTACCTGGTTCTGTACGTTTACAATGCCCAAGCTCTCCATAACTTGATCCTCATGTCTGCAGCACTTACAGACAGTGAAATTTAGTACTTAACAATTTACTATCTTGTTTTAATAGTTTCACTATTAGAAATCATGTTACTTCAGAAAAGTTTATTAATACAATCTTGAGAATAATCTTACATTTACTTTGGTCTTCTTTATAGCACCAAGCACATCCTGGCATATAGTAAACTCTTAGTTATAACCTGATCTGAGAAATTTATTTGGCTGCGTAAATTTCAAATTTTTAACCAGAAGCAACTGCTTTGGGCTACAAGTTTCTTTACCCTTAAATAGGGTATTCTGTATATTTCTATACTTTGTATTCAGTGTATTTCTGTACTTTGAAATTTTGAATTTGTTTTCGTGTTCACATCAGTGGCTTTGTCTCTGTTACACATAAACATGTGACTTTGAGCTGGTCTTCCCCTTTCAGGTTGAACAGTGTTTAAAACGTTTGAAAAACATGAATTTGGAAGGTTCAATTCAAGATCTCTCAGAGTCATTTTCTTCTAAGTAAGTAGTCTAGTTGCTTTGTAATGGGCTTTGTGGTGGGCTGGAAAGCTGGTGTTTTGCTGTGACCTCGCTTTAGACTTCCTTCATTACTGTTTGAATATAACCAATTATACCTTAGCTGTACAAATTTTATTTTAATAAAGGGCCCTTGGTATTTGTGGTAATCTCCCTCTGTTGGCTTGTGGGAAGGAATAGTGTGACACTGAAACCTGGGTGATGATAAACTGTTTTGAAACGTAAGTGTCAGTTAACTTCTTTGAGTCATTATTAAACATAACTACCTCAAATTGAGCTTAAAGCAATTCTGTACTTGTTATATAAGTGTTTTATATTTAAGAATGAAAGTAACATACTTCTCTATTTTTTTCAAGTGAAAATCAGCCTATAAATACCAAGGCATGTGTCATTCCCAGCCAACCGGTGGTGGAACTGGTGTTGATGAAGATTTTGGGAGCCTGTAAGTTGCTGCTTTGCCTGTTGGACTGTTGCTGCAACACATTTCTGTATCCTTGAATCATCTAAAAAACTTTTTTCTGAACTTCAGTTGTTTGGATATATTTAATGGGCTTCTCAGGTGGCTCAGTGGTAATGAATCCACCTGCTAATGAAGAAGCTACAGAAGATGCGCGTTTGATCCCTGGGTCAGGGAGATCCCCTGGAGGAGGAAGTGGCAACCCACTCCAGTATTCTAGCCTGGGAAATCCCATGGACAAAGGAGCCTGTTGGGTTACAGTCCATGGGGTTGCAGAGTCAGACATGATTGAGCACGCATGCAGGGATGAATTTAATAGTATTTGTCTGAAAGCTAGGGAGTATGTAGTTTTTCATACTTTCAAAGTAGGAGTTATAATTTATGTGAATTCTTAAAATTTTGCTCTTTGGTCTCCTCTTCCTGGGAAGTGCCTGAAATAGCCGTTGCCAGGGATTTCTACCTCTATTTAATATGTATTATCCTAAAGGCATTGACAGTTAGAAATTCTTAATCTTAAAAGCTAACCCTTAGAAACCAAATTTATTAATGAAGCCTCTAGCAGAGTATGTATTACTTTTTTTTTTTAAAGCTTCAATGACTTAATAGAACATGTTTTAAGGCTTTAACTGCTTCAAGAAAATTCTGCATTCTGTGTGGAATTTTTTTTTCCCATAAATGTAACTCAAGAAAATCTAAATTCCTTTGATTCCGTTTTCCAACTTTAACTTGAATCTTCAGCTTGACTGTGAAACATCTAGGTTTGCAAGAATTCATTATTTTAAACCTTGTGATGGTTGGGCTCGTGAGCAGGTTATGGTATGTATGTACATACCTTTGAAATCCTTCATTTCTTTTTCATTTCTCTAACTCAGACTAGGTTTCTTATTAGTAGTCTTCATATTTGCTTTCCCATGGGATGTTGAAGGTGCAGAAATTGTTTCTTCATTTGATCAGAGTTTATTTGGGATGGATTGGGAAGCTAAGTGTTGATAGTTATGTCAAAAGACTAGGCTTTGAATCTGAATCCATGAGATCACTTCCACATTAAACTAAGCAAATGAATTCCTAGAATCCTGGAATTAAAAAAAAAAAAAGGTTCCTCTAATCATTCAGCTGAGCCATTTAGAATGAAGGTGTTCCTGGGCAGTCTGTATCATTTGTTTCTGCCACTAGATTTCTAATACTTAATGGCAATGACCTTTCTTATGTTTTCTAAATTCCTTTCTTCCACATGAACCACCACTGCTTTTTGAACCATAACTAATTGATGTAAAGAACACTGGTAATACTAGTTGCAAACCAAAGAGAATTTCCCTTGCATTTCACAATATATATTATGGAGCTTATCTGATGGATAATAAGATTCAAAATCTGCCCATTTGTGATTAGCTATAATTTGAATGGAAATAAAAAAAGAAAAAATTCTCTCTAATCCTAATTTTCTATCTTAACCTGGATATCTCAAGTACTATTTTCAATCATCTTGTTTTTTATTCTGCTTGTTTTTAGAGCTAACAATGTTAGAATTACTTATCATATGTTAGTATGGTTATCATGTTAGTAATGTTAGAATTACTAATCAATGTCAAACCTTATTATTTTTCCTTACAATGAAAATAGCTTTGATTTTTTAAATTTTAATAGTATATGCCTACTTGAAGAAACTTTTAAAAGTAGAAAAAATTCAAAGAACCTGAAATTTGCCTAAAATCTTATCATCTAGATAAAACCACATTTAAGATTTTGGTCACATCCTTTGAAATATCTCTCCATGTAGTACTGCATTTGGTTTTATATAACATTTTGTACTTGGATTTTTCAGTATAAGCTGGATTAAATCTAGCTCTTTGCAAGTATCCACTGTAGCATTTTTTTTTTTTAATCTATAGTGGGCAGACTGATAGGTGTTATTTTCAGCTTTGAATCTGTTAGTTATTATGTAATCTGCAAATTATAATTACTGGCTAATTCATGAGCTCCTACTTCTTTCCCTAGGGTTCTGTATAAAGATGTTTTAAAAAGGCTGGTTTCTTTATATGAACCATTGTTTGGATTACTTCAAGAGGTCTCCAGGATTCAACCATTGCCTTACTTCAAAGGTTTTACCTTTCCTTCTGATATTGTTGAATTTTTAGGAGAGCCCTATTTTGAAGTCTTTAAGAAAAAAATGCCTACAGCTTTTGTAGCTAAAGGAGTAACTAAATTGCTAAATAAATTATTTTTAACAAAAGAGCAGTCACAGAGGTCAGGTGAAGAAACTTTACTTAGAATTTCTGAAAAAGCTAAACAAGTGAAGATCAATATACAGAATAACATGGATCTTGGACAACCAGTAAAGAGTAAGAAAATTTTAAAAGGTAATTTGCTTTGATGTGGCACATACTCTTAAACTCTCTTTAATTTTAACTCACGTTATCTTTAGAGAAGTATGGTATTAATAATGTGTGTTTTCTGAGCTTGAGCAGATTAAGTTCTTTCTTTCTGTTGTAGCTTCATAGTTCTTTGCTTGCTTAACTCCATTTGTTGTCATGTACTTAAGAATTTGTTGATTTGAAAATAGTATGCCTAATTTTTTATCTGTGATTTATCTCCACAGAAAAGTCATCAGAATTTGATGTGAGAGCTTTCTGCAAACAGCTGAAACACAAAGCTATTCAGGTTTGTCTGGCTTATTTTAATATAGCTTATGATTTCTGCTAACTTGTAGTGTAGATGCCACTTACCAAGGGCAGAGGCTGAATCTTACTTCTGGTTTTATCCCCAGCTCTAGGCATAGTGCCATCTTAGTTCTCAGTCTGCTTCTGAATGAGTAGAGGCATTTCCAAGGGATCTGAGTGCATCTAGTTAATTCAGTTAATAGAATACCTTCAGAAACGTTTTACTAAGAGTTTTGCTAGAATTTTAAAATGATCCTAGGAACCATCATAGGAGTGGATTATATTGCAGCTTAAGAATATGGGCTTTGAAGTCAGACAGATGGTTTGTGTCCTGGCTTTGGTTGGTAGTAATTTGTGACCTTATGTAAGTTTCTTGACCTGTCCATACCTCCATTTTCTAGAAACAGTATGCACTTCATAGGGTTGTGCCAGTTTTAGTACATGTAAAGTATTCAGCACAGAGTCTAAAGTATGGTAAGCACTTACTTGATGTTAGATGTTAGGTACTTCCATCGTCATTATCATCATCACCATCTTTTATCATGAGGCTTCTATTTCTTTTTCTCATCAGCATTTGACCTCTCCTCAGCCAGCGTCTGTAAACTCTTGTTTGTTCTGGATCTGACACGGATAAGAAGTTCTTTTACTCTCTTTTCAAAGTTGTTTTCTTCTGTGGGCTATTTCTTCCATTCTATTCAAGAATTCTTTTCTAGCAAGTCAGTACTTTCTTGAAGGTTTACAAGGATTCTAGCTTGCATTTATATTTTGTCCAGTTTACAAGTTCTGGAGGAAGACGTCATCATCACCATAATACTTATACTGCATTTACTCTTTGCCAGGCATTGTTCAGAACTCTTTACATGTGTAAACTCATAATCCTTGCAAAAGTCCTGTGAGGTAGGTGCTGTTCCTTCCATGTTTCAGATGAGAAAATTAAGGCAAAGAAAGGACAAGAAATTTGTCCAGGCCAGACAGCAAATATGGGGCAGAACTGGGATTTGAACCGGGCAGTTTGGTTTCAGTCTTTGTCATTTAATATTATTTTTTGTTGTTGTTCAGTCGCTAAGTTGTGTCCGACTCTGCAACTCCATGGGCTGCAGCACACCAGGCTTCCCTGTCCTTAACTATCTCCCACAGTTTATCATTCCACCAGTCTCCAAATAGTTTTATCAGCTCTCTCTTAATAACTATAGCTCTCTGTGACTCCTAAAACTTTCTGCAGTCCATCACCTGTTCCTGTGTGAGCTGGTTCCAGCATCCCTCTTATTTATGACCAATCACTATTTTATTTTCAGCATTTAGCACCAATATGCTTGGCGTGTTTTTGGGTCAAACTTTTATGGATCACCAACACAAGTATTGATAGGTCTCTACCTTCTACTACTATTACTTGCTCTTCTTGAGAATGAGAAATTTGCAAGAAAGTAAGTTTTGAACAGAAGATGGAAGCAAACCTAGTAGGTAGCATATTTCAATAAAACAGTAGTAGTTGATAAAATTCAAACTTGACTTCATACAGAGAAATGAAGTTGAAGAGACAGAGGTGCCACATCAAAAGATGGTTGAATTGGAATTGGAAATATTGCTCCGTTAAGCATTTTTAACATACATTCAACAGTCATCTGCATTTTCACATTTATCAATAACATTTATGACCCATCATTGAGGAGGTGATGAAAAACAAGCTGTGGTAGTCCAGCATTAGAGGAAAAGGGCTTTTCAGTGATTTTGTCTCTCACCAGATAGACTTTGATCAATACTTAATTATGTGGAGTTTTATTCTTATGTGTAGATTAAATGGGCTTCCCTGGTGGCTCAGTGGTTGAGAATCCACCTGCCAATGCAGGAGAGGCAGGATTGATCCGTGGGTGGGGAAGATCCCTGGAGAAGGAAATGGCCACTCCGGTATCCTTGCCTGGAATATCCCATGGACAGAGGAGCCTGGCGGGCTATAGTCCATGGGGTCACAAATAATCAGACATGACTGAGAGACTAAACAACAACAACAGAGGTTAAATAAATATGTATGTAAATATTTATATTGTTACTTGTGTACAACTGAATTTTGCTATAGATGGGATCTATTGTAGCACAGAGGGGAAAAAATTGTATTAGGAGCAGTGAATAAAAATTTTTTTAAGCAAAAGGAAAGGAATTCCCTGGCAGTTTAGTTATTTCCACTGTATTTCCACTGCAAAGGGGCACCAGTCTGATCCCAGGGTTGAGGAACTAAGATCCCCAAAGCCAGATGGCACAGTCAAAAAAATTTAAAAAGACAAACAGAAGGCATAGGGAACTGGAAAAAACTTTTTTCCTTCTTTGAAAAAGATGTATTTTCAAATGTTGATAGTGTGTGTCAACTTCTCTCTCTTGTTATATGTCAATAACAGATCCAATATATTTTTCTCATCATTCTATATTTCAGGAGAAGAGCTTTGAATTTAAATGTTCTCAATCCAAACTAAAGGCAGCCAAACATTCTTCTCAGAAAGCAATAGGAACTCCCTGTGTAAAAAGTCTTGTGCAAAGATTCCGAGAGGCTGAGACTTTCACACAACTTTCTGAAGAAATCCAAATGGCAATTCTGTGGTGTAGAAGCAAAAAACTGAAGGCTCAGACCACCTTTCTGGGTAACAAACTTCTTAAAAGTAACCGGCTTAAACATGTGGAAGCTCAAGGCTCTAGGTAGGTATATTATAAAAATTATATTCCTTTACTTCTTCTGTTATCTTTTAAGGCAAAAGTATATGTATTCAGCCTTTTTAATGTCCAGAATCCTGGGGACTAAAATTGGGGTATATACTTAAAGTGCAGTTTTGTTAGCTACTTTTATTGGGCAGAGCTAAATATATATGTCATCAGGAGGAAGTAAATTTGGTCAACTGGATTTACTCATTTCTACTCTTCACCATTCCATCCTTTTATTCAAAAAGTATCAGGTGTGTCTATGGTACGCTAACCTGCAGATACAACCGTGTGTAAGACAGATTTAATCCTCATGGAATTCTGCCTCTCTGGTAGGAGAGATGGCCAATCTGCCTGCAGCTTCAGTGGGATGAGGGTGTGAGAGCAGAAGATGCTTCCTCCTACAAGGCCACACACCAGACTTGAGTCAGCGTCAAGTAATTTCCATTCACAGGAGCTAGACTCTCCATGTATTGTTTCATCCTTTTGTGAGTCTTACATTCATAGCACTGCTTAAGGATGGTTATCTTTGTGAGCCAATATTCCTTGAAACAGTACATGAAGTTAGATATTTTAGGGCTTTATGTTTTTATTGAACAAATAATAGATGCCTGTGGTAATAGTTTGAGACACAAACGGCCATAAAGGTCCTCATTGCCCCTTCACAGGGGCGATCACTGACCAATTTTTACGTATCCTTCAAGAAACACTCTGTGCGTCCACCATAATTTCTTACTATATTTATGGACATATATCTATTCAGGGCTTTATAATGGCTTCCATGGATGTCACTTGGTCACTTGTTAAATTTTCTTTAAAAATTTATGGAAAAACAATACCTCTTTTAGTAAAAAAATATGATATATACTGAAGGTTTCATAGCATACTGAAGTTTTGACTAAAAGCTGTGGGAGAAGTTAAGGGTTTTTACATTACACTCGAGTGGAAGCTCAGCCTAAAATGGAGCTGTTCTGTTCAAGATTCTGTTTAAACTCAGGGGTAGATGAGGCAGAGATGCTAATTAAAAGTTAATCCAGAAGGTAACAAACTGGTGGCTATTTGATTAAGACATTATTCTTCACCCCACAAAAATACAGTGCTCTTTCATTCTGCCCTGTTTTGATGTTTTAGTAACGTATTTGTATTACATTTTAAGTTTACTTAATGTCCACAATAACTCTATGACACGTGGTGGTATTCACATTTTGTAGATGAGTTAATAAGAGGATTTTACTCAGAGAATTAGAGCTGGAGATCTTGAACTCAGTGCAGATCCTCTGATTCTTCTGTTTTTTTTCATCTATTTCCATTTCAGTTGGGAAGTCCACCTACCCTCTCCTCACTTAAAAATTACCACTTACAGTAAGACAAAATGGTTTGGAAACAAAAGATCATGGATTACTGCGTTAAAATGGGCTTCCTCAAAGTTCTATATTGGTTTAAAAAGGAAGAGGGTACAGTAGGAGGTACAGACTAATGCTAATCTTTTGCAATCTGTCACAGTGAGGCAGTTAGCAGGGTACCAATGCACCTTGTGGCAGTATATCCTATTCAGAAGCAAAATACCTAACAACCAGCCATTTGAGTTCTGAATTCCCAGATTTGAAGATAATATGAATGCTGTCATTTTGCCTATGCTGGCATCCCTGTCTTCTCATTTTACATAAACTCCCTCTTCACTTTTATTCCTTTTTCCTTGTTCATTTCCTGTCATTATGTTGAATATGAAGTAATTACTCCAGAAATGGGATGATGCATCCTAATAACTTTTCTATTTGTAATTCATCTTTCCCCCAGTTCTATTACATTACACCATTACATTACATCATATTACATTATGAATAGATTAGTAATTATCAGGAAGTAGCTCTGGCACTGAAATATGGCAGTTTAGCTGCCTTGCTAGTTGTAGGAGCTACTTTACTGTGGAAATGTAATGGAGACACATTTGCCCACAATCTAAATCAGAGGGAATTTGTGCTCTGAAAACACAGACTGGATATGAAGCTCCTATTTCCATGTTTTTCTTTATGATTCTGGAAATTGTACAGAGGCGTAGGACATATATTTTAATTGGAAGTTGGTAAAAAGGAGACAAAATTTTTGAGAATGTCTTTCTGCACCTTAACAATCTAATATCTTCTGTCTTTTAAAGTTTGCCAAAGAAGCTACAGTGCATAAAAACATCTATTTGCAACTGCCTTCTTCATGGCTTAGGTCTGAAAACTTCAAAGTATCACCTGAGACAAAGAAGATCACAGAATAAATTTTCACTGAAAGGAAGGAAACAGAGAAAGTTGCAGTTGACTCATTTAAAGGAAATCCAGCAGCCCCCTCAAGGGACTCAGAGTGCTACAGATGTCATCATTAAAGGGAGACTCTCGGATTCTACTGATTGTAGGACTGATCTGTATCCTAACAATAAGGAAGTGAATAGGAGAGTTTCAAATCCTGTCATACAAACTAAGGAGAAGCAAACTCATGAAAAGCTTACAGAAAGCAATGAAAATAAGATGGATTCTTGGACAATGATGCAAGTAAATAAACATAACACATCAGGAACCACTAAGGAGACAGACGACATTGATTATATTTTTGCTTTAATGGGAGTTTAGAGGTTCATATGTAAAACTTTTAACCAGTTGCTCCAGTGTTCTGCTGCTTTAAGTAGAACAGTTGAGATGTGGAAAGATCTGGAAGTACCACTTGGACTCAGAGGAACTGCTTTAGTACAACACTGTACAACAGTTCATTTTAGTTCAATAAACGCTTACCATAGCTTTGTGTCATTTAATCGACAAATATTTGACTATTAGTCAATTTTTTACTTAAGCCCTGAGTAATTAGGTTTGTAAAACTTACATTGTGCCTTAGGTAAATGGGATGCAGGGGTGGGGTGTAGCAAGGAATCACCTAGAAGGTCACTTTGACCTTAATGGCTCCACTGTAGCTAAGTGCTCTTCTGAACACCAAGGTTTGTAGCTTTTAACAGCGGTACTGTCTGTCTTCTGTATGTTAGAACTGATCATCAGTTTTGCCACTAAGTGTATTAGCAGGCAATGATTACAACCATTATTTCACTTAATTTGTTAACCTTATCTCATAGGAGGGCATATTAAAATGCTTTTGGAATTGTCCAAAAATTTGTAGGGGAGCTTGTTTATTTGGGTGCTAGTGATTGATTCCAAATAAATTTTTTTCCAGAAAGGATATAGAGTGACTTGCAGTTATACACAAAGTAGAACTAGGTGAGAAAGTTAAATGAAAAAGCCAACACAAAATCAATCAACCTAGAAAAGTTAAAAATAGATTTATAATTTGGTGCTGATGCTATCATCTGATATTTGTATGGTGCTCATACAATTGCTCTGAGAAGGTAAATCCTACATATTTTCAAATAATGATGCGAAGTTTGAGGTTTCTTTCAAACATTCTAACTTTCTACAATTAGGTTAATAAGCTATTTTTCAAGCAGGTTGTAGGCTTAAGTTTTATGTTTATATATAGTAATTTATACAGTGCCCTAGTATATACTGCATCTTCAAAATGCCGATTTTGAGTCCCTTCCAGAGACTGATAATCATGGCTAGGGGACAGGATCAGAAATCTGCATTTTTAGTACGGGGCTCAGGTGATTTTGATGCAAGTAACCCAAAGTACAGTTAGATAAACACTGGTTTAGCTCCCTTCTTTCCTGAAGCCTTGCTAAGTCAATCTCTAGTCACTTTTTATTAGTTCATCTTTCTCCTGGTTTCCTTCCAAGTGGTACAGCTACTTAATACTTTAAGACATGGACAATATCGAGGAAGTCTTCTTCATGACAAGTCTAGAAATAGCCATCAGCTTCTAAGATTCAAGATACAATCTTGCTTCTGCTTTTATGTGCATGTGACACTAATCATGTACAAATAGCAGGTTTCTCTGGGCTCAGTTCCTCCATCTGAAGTGGTATTACTGTCCAATAATCATAAACCTGTACAACTGGAAGAGACTTTGGAGATCACCCTTCATTGTATACAACAGAGTGGTTCAGTGAATTGTCTATAAGGAGGTGAAACTGGATTAGACTATAAGCCTAGCATTTTTTTTCCTATTTCATTAATGTTCCTTTGGAGTATGTTTATCTCCTTTTCCCATCTGCCCCTTAAAATCCTGGGAAAAACAGTAAAGAGTTTCATGTCTCCATAAGTTGGTAAAAATAAGAAACATAGTATTCTATATATATTTTTTCCAAACAAACTCAAATGTTTTAAGTTTTAAAAGTGAATTCTTAAATATACAAAACCATAACTTACCCAGTAAATTAGATTAGAAAATAACTGTTAGCATCATCATAGTAAATACCAATTTAATCCCTTCTGGTGGCATTAACACACTCTGGCCATTTGTAAGAGCAGTGTGGTAGACCTCTCATGTGTCACTTCAAATCTTGGCCTCTTGCTGCAGCACTACAATGATAACCAGTCTCAAGCAGGATTGCACAACACCTTGCCTCCTGGCCTCTGACAAGCTACAGGAACTGCTTGGCGTTTGGGCATACACAACTTGGAAGAGGTATGGGGGCTGTCCTCTAATCCCCCTTCAAAGACAATTCAGAGGCACATTTCATAAGGTTCCACAGATCCGTCAAGATCAAGCCCTAGTGCTATGTTGTTTCCAACTCAATGCATCCTTGATTGGCTTTCCTTCCATCTGTTTCATTTTCCTTTCATTCCTGTTTCCTGGAATCACATCCCCAATAAACTATTGGACACAAGCTTTTGTCTTGGACCCTCCTTTTAGGAGAACCAAAGTCAACGCTAAAACAAGCTGTAAAGTAACACTCGCAGGCAGAAAGATGACTTTTAAGATAATTTTGTTGTTACGATCAATATATATTTTACTTGGTGAATGCCCATATTAAAAGTTTTTTTTTTCCTTCTTAAAGTTTAAATCACTGCTGGTTAGAATAAACCAGTAGTAGTAACTATAAAACTGAAAACATATTCAGAACTGAATTTTCTAAACGTCAAAAAGTTGTTTTATAGCATTCACTTTTTATCCAATGCTATTGCTGTAACATTTTAATATTGAGCCTCACTCTGAAAAGCTAAACCACTTGTATGACTAGGTCAGTAACACCTTCATAAAAATATTTTCCACTAACATTAGTCCAAAGTAAGGCTTTATCTTTCCATTCTGAATCCTAATAGGAAGATTCCATTTATAAACTGTACCATCAACTTTTTTCTCTTGCCCTGTGCAAATCAACTTTCATACCTAAAACTTTCTTCTTTGGTCTTAACCTAGATAAAATGTTACTTCCTCCATGGCAGGATGTATTCTATGATAAATCTACCCATGAGTTTTGCTATAAAATTGGTTTTGCTTTACAAATAAGTAGAATAAATAGATGTTCTTTTCATATTTTAAAAAAGAAGTTCAGAAACATCCAACGTATAATAAATATTAGAACTGGAACTTGAATTCTGGTCTTCTGATTCTGAACCCTGTGAAAGTGACTGACCTCAGCCTGAAATAAGTGGTATTTCCATTATGGACTGATTGAAATTTTATCAAGAATAATTTTTGTTATATTCAAATGAGGTCTCCAAAAAAAGGTAAGTTATAGTCATACATATAAAGACCCTGATGCTGGGAAAGATTGAAGGTAAAAGAAGAAGAGGGTGGCAGAGGATGAGATGGTTAGATAGCACCAATGACTCAATAAATATAAATTTGAGCAAACTCTGAGAGAGACTGAAGGACAGGGAAGCCTGGTGTGCTGCAGTTCATGGGATGGCAGTCAAGACACAACTTGGTGACTGAACAACAACCTAAGAATTTACCTTCAACCCATCTATCACTGCTTAACAAAAAAGTAGGCCATTTTTACCTAGTGTATTGTAATATTTAAAAAAATAGAGTAATGGATATTCCTTTAAAAGACAAAAACCCAATAAATAATATGGCAAACTGTCATCTACACAGTAGGGGCTACCCTGATGCTCAGACGATAAAGAATCTGCCTGCAGTGCAGGAGATGCAACTTCAATCCCTTTGTCAGGATTCCCCGGAGAAGGGAATGGCTACCCACTCCAGTATTCTTGCCTGGAGAATGCCATGGACAGAGGAGTCAGGCGGGCTACAGTCCATAGGGTTGCAAAGAGTCAGACACGACTGAGTAACTAACACTCTCACTATCATCTACACGGTAGGAAACAGATTTTCATTTTATGGACTTCTATGTGCTCTTGTTTGTCAGTTTGTTAAAAACTGCTGGTACCTCTTCTAATGAACAGCATAACTCAATCATGTATAAACCTTTCTGCCCCTATAGGCACAAATTCATTCTTCCTTTGGAAATATGCAGGTTTTAATGCTGAAATGATCCTTCTGCAAGTTACAGATACACAACACTTAAAACAATATTGAAATTCTGTCTTTAACTGCAGTTGGCACAGACAATTTTGAATCTTCAGCTAAATTGGAAGCCATTAGTCTTAAGATTTCCTGTTATATCAGCTATAAAGCATCTCAGCAGATGGATTCCAGAATAGGTCACAGCACTGTGGGGAAAAATAAAAAGATCATTTTCTTCCTTACTTCAGAGGTAGTAACAGATCTGAATTCACCTAATTTAAAATCTGTTTACAAACACTTGTGAGTTCTGGGTGTGAAACAGGGTATCTTAATTTGTCCTACCTTTCCTCTCTTCCCCGGCATCTCTTGTATTATTCTAAATCTGGTGATCCACATCATCTGATCTATTTCCTTCATGATTCTAGAAACTTCACATCTACTATTTTGGTTTTTATTTTCCAGACCAAGTTATTATTATTGTGGTATAATTGACGTACAACATTAGTTTCAGGGATATAATGATTCAGTATTTGTATTATTGCAAAATGATCACCACAATAAGTCTAGTTACACCTGCCACCATTTATAGTAAACAATTTTTTTTTTTCCTTGTGGTGAGGACTTTTACGATCTACTCTCTTAGCAACTTTCAAATATGCAATACAGCATTACTAACTGTGGTAACCATATTGTATATTACACCATCCTCATGGTTTATTTTATAACTGGGTTTATACCTTTTGACCTTCACCCATTTTTCTTACCCCCAACCTCTACCTCTGGCAACCACAATCTCTTCTCATCTGAGCTTGTTCTTTTTTTTTTTTTTTCATTTGCTCAACAGCAAAACATTTATTAAGCATGTTTTACATAACACTTGGGCTATGACGGGGTCCTTATTCAGAGTGTGTTCAGACTCTGGATGCATGTGAGCTTGTTCTTTTAAATTCCACATGTAAGTGAAATCACACATTATTTGTCTTTCTCTGACTTACTTCACTTAGCATAATGCTCCCAAGGTCCATTCACGTACTCTCAAATGGCAAGATTTCCTCCTTTTTGGTGGCTGAATAGTATTCCATTTGTGTATACACAATGACCCTTGAAAACCATGGATTTAATCTGTGTTTATCCACTTACATGTGGATGTTTTACAATGGTAAATACCACAGCTTTACATCCAGTTGGTTGAATCCAGGGATTTGGAGGAAATATGGTTATGGCAGGTCAACTATAAGTTATACTTGGATTTTTGACTGGGCTAAGGGTCAGAACCCTTAACCCCTCACATTGTTCAAGGGTCAACTGTATAGTACCACATCTTCTCTGTCCATTCATCCACCGAGGGACACTTAGGTTGTTTCCAAATTTTGGCTATTAAAAATAATGCTGTAACTAGCATGGGGGTACACATATCTTTTCGAGTTAATGTTTTCATTTTCTTTAGATGTATATCCAGGAGTGTAATTCTTGGATCATATTGTAGTTCTATTTTTAGTCTTTTGTGGAATCAATACTGATTTCTTTAGTGACTACACCAATTTACATTCCTACCAACAGTACACAAGGATTCCCTTTTTTCTATATCCATGTCAATACTTATGTCTTATCTTTTTGATAACAGCCATTCTAACAGGTGTGAGGTGATATCTCACTGTGGTTTTGATTTGGATTTCCATGATGAGTAGTGATGTTGAGGATCATTTCATGTACCTGTTAGCTATCTGTATGTCTTTGGAAAAATGTCTATTCAGATCCTGTGTCTATTTTTAAAACCATTTTTTTTTTAAACCATTGAGTTGTATGAGTTCTTTATATATTTTGGATATTAACCCCATCAGATATATGATTTACAAATATCTTCTTCCATTGATTAAGCTGACTTTTCATTTTGTTGATAATTTTCTTTGCTGTGCAGAAACTTTTAGTTTAATATAGTCCCACTCACTCATCTTTGCTTTTGGAGTCAGATCCAAAAACTCACCACTTAAGAGTGATGTCAAGGAGCTTACAGCATATTTTCTTCTAAGAATTTTATGGTCTCATGTCTTATATTCAAGTACTTTTCCATTTTGAGTTAATTTTCATGTATAGTATAAGACAGTAGCCTAGTTTCATTCTTTTGCATGTGGTTGTCCAATTTTTCCAGCACCATTTATTGAAGAGACTGTCCTTTCCCCATTGTATAGTCTTGACTCCTTTGAAAATTAACTGCTCATATATGCAGGGGGTTTATTTCTGGGCTCTCTAATCTGTTCCACTGACCTATATGTCTGTCTTTATGCCAATACCATATTGTTTCATTACTACAGCTTTTGTGACACAGTTTGAAATCAGGAAATGTGATACCGTCAGCTTTGTTCTTTCTTAAGATTGCTTTGGCTATCCAGGGTCATCTGTGGTTCCATGTAGTTTTTCAGACTATTCAATTTCTGTGAAAAATGCCATTGGAATATCTTATATTTTGCTTTTTATTTCCCAGACTGAAATTCTGATCTCTTTAATTTGTTCTTTTTATGAGAAAGATTAAATTACCATGATAATAAACTTTTCATGATTTAAAAAAAAAGTCAGTCACCATTATTGTGTCTATTATCGATCTGTCTTACAGTATCTATCCATATCCTTTCATCCATTTGTCAGCATGGAAGTGAACACATGGTTTCTTGGGATACACAGAGTTTTATGAAGACACTATGACTTTTATGGATGCAGGTATGGTGTATATGTGTATATAAAACAGGTAAAATATTTTCTGCTATATTGCTAATTCTCTTTGATAAAGCTGCCTCCATACTGATTCTCAATTATAACTGAAGTTACACATGTATGATTTAAAGAAGAAATACAAGTTGGATAGTCTACACACTAACTATGGCACCATAAACTTATTTGCAACATTTTTGTCAGTTCATGATTTTCTTTGTCCTAAGAATCAGTTCTCATTTGCGTGAAAACCACAGAAGCAATTATATTGTGCCTACTTATATATTTCTTCCATACCAGTTACAAAAACCGACTTTTGATCCCAGCATCAAACTTTAGGGGCCTTTCGTCAGTTTTATTTCTCTAACTCAGTTGGGGCAGAGTTCAGACATGAAGGTGAGCACTTAAACTTTTGCCAACAGGCTTAAAAGGCCACACCTTGCTGGACTACATGTCTACGCACACTTCCACCTTTCTCTTACCAAGATCATACAGGAAGAGGAGAAAATAAAACCTGTCTTATTTTATAATAATTATTCTCTGACTAAGTCAAATTCCCTTTTGGAGGGATGTACTGGGGCTTGGTCAAGCAAATAAAAGCAAAGAGTATAAATAACTCTACTATCTGAATTGGGTTTTGAAAACTACAGAGTACAGCCTGACAACTTCCTGTATGTGGTCACTGTGGTATCCTGAACGTTGAAGTTCTTGAAAGCTAGCACCTCCTGTATGTGTCTCAATTCGTAAGACTTTGAGTACTGTGTGGCTTCTGCAGTACCTTAGTTACTTAGTCAGTATGGTGGCACTGTGATTCAAAGGTCACGCAGCAGAAAATGCAAGCCTATCTAAAGAAGGGAACACCTCTAAAAAGTACTGAGAATCTGTTAGTTCAGGTTCTTGGCCTGACCTTGCCATTGACTGACTGACTTCTGGGAAGGAAAGAAACTAATTTTATTATGTGGTTAATATATGTACATCAGTCACAATATATTTTATTTAATCCTTCTAACCATTACATTTTCCTCAAAAAATGAAATAAGTTACTTTAAAAGCTATTGCCAAGAAGTAGAAAAACCATGTAAAACCATAGCTGTCTGACCCTTGAGGTCCATGCTCTTTCTATATCAGCAAATGCTTCTCTGAAACTCCCTTCACTTCTCTGACCTATAATGTATCTGTGAAACAGAGATGCTTACTTTGTGGATCAATTAAGTGTTTAGAATGATCTAGTGACATAACCTTCTCCAAGACCATCTGTTTTCAGATAGCTCTAGTTGTTCTTAATGTCAAGTCACAATAGAACTTGACTGAACTGATGGTATACAGCTTAAAGCAGTGTGAGACTACTGTTTGATCACTCCCTTGTTTTGAACACTAAAATTATAACACTGTAGCTCAAGAAAACCTTGTCAGTTTTTCCCCAGCCTCATTATATTATTTAACTCAGCCTACCGTCAACTAGTAATAAATGCAGCTGTTGGGCCATAATTGCCCATCTTGTGTTTATTTTACCTTTTCAGCTGAAGTCTCATTTCCTTCTTATTAAACATTTAAAAGAAAGCAATTATTTTTCTGAGACAATGCTCAGGGCTCTAAGAAGAAACAGGATTTTTATTCCTGCCTATAGGAGTTTCCACTGTATCTATCAGACACAGACAAATGAACAGGATAAATACTTAAATGTAAGTCAAGGGGGAAAAGCATTTTGTAGAAATGAATGAAGACAGATTCAACTGCATATTCATACAGACAATTGTGATCTGGATCGGTAGGGACGAGAATGACGGCTTAGAGGAGAGTTTCATGTAATTTTTTGTAGAAACTATCATAGTGCCTTCCACAAAGAAGTTAGAGTCAGAAAATCACACAGGAATGGCACTGTATTTCTGCTATAATACAGGTTACTTACCGTATCCAAAGTGTACACTGAAAGTAAAAACTCATGTTTCATTGCTAAACCACATCTAATACCTCAAAAATTGCTGGTTCAGGAAATAACCATCCTGTCTGCTACCGATGCTTAATTCTAGCTTATATGAAGCATTTCTTCCTTACATATGGTCCTTTAAAAGGAAAATTCTTATCCTTTACAGCTTGATGTGGTCTAGGGTTGAAATAGGCTGAAGTAGAAAGATTATGAAGATACTACAGGGAAGATTCAGCAAGAATCTGCAGACAGAAGAAAGAATAGAGGAAAGGAAAAAAATAAGTGTTGATGGGTTGTACCAATAAATTATGGCTAAGTGCAGAGTCTTCCAAACTCTTCTAATCTTAAAAGGATACCTCAATTTCAGAAACACTGATTGAATGCTAAAGGTTGTTAGCACATACAGTTATATGTTAGTACATAAAGACAATTCAACTCTTACCTTACAGGGAACAACTGAGGAAAACATCCTTGTGTTTTAGTGTCAACAAATTTCTGGATCTGAAGCACTTGTTTTAAAAGATGTCCCTTGGAAGATTTGTCAATTTTTGTTAATACCATCTGTAGGAAAACAAATATTTAGGCATTAGAAATAAAGTACAGTTGACCCTTGAGCAACATGGGCTTAAAATGCAAAGGTGCACTTATATGCAGATATTTTCAACAGTAAATACCACAATATTACATGATCTGTGGTTGATTAAATCCATGGATATGGCGCTGCCAATATGGAGGAACCACCAATACAGAAGAACCTTGAATAGGAAGGGCTGACTGTAAGTTAAACTTGGATTTGCGACTGAAAGGAGGGTTGGCGCCCCTAATTCCCATACTGTTCAAGGGTCAACTGTTATTTCTTAATATACAGTTTTATACATTTTAGTTACAAAATTTCAGTAACAACTAGGTGACCTATGCCAAGTTTCTTAATCTCTTTGTACTTGTTTCCTCGTCTATAAAAATAAAAGCAATACCTTCTAAAGGAGTTTCTGTAAAGATTAAATAAATTAATATATGCAATATATAAAGCATACACTATGTATTTGCTGTTTCCAATGCTTTAACCATACAGGGCCATAATATCTTGGATTCAAGACCAGTGTATAGAACCCTGGGGCCATATTTGCCATTGCTATACACCAAATGTTTCATGTGATCACTATTTATTTTGTGGTCTAAGACACAGAAGTGTTATTAGCTTCATACACATAAAACTGCCAATTTATAATCATTTTTGAAATATTGAATTATTCTACCTTATATGTTAAATTTAAAGGAAAAATTAGAAATCAGGTTATTTGTAGGTTGTAGCCACTGTGGTTATATTCCAACTTAAATAAAGATAATACTCCAAGTAAGCCTAGAATTTACTAGGGTTAACAGCAAATATAATACTTTAAATAACTTACTTACTCAAAGACAATTACATACTAGAGAAAGATCAAGGTGTGATGATTACAAAATTAATTAAAAGGTAAAAACCTTGATGTATTTTTCAGAAGTTTTCCTAGGAAATCTCTATAAAATTAAATTTCTTGACTAATCATTTATGCTTTTCAGTTATAAAAATATATAAATGATTAAAATAAAATATAATGATCATAAATCAACTATACAGCATAAAAAATATTAATGGCAGGAGAAGCAGAAAGTAGAAGTCTTTCTTCATAAAGATAAATATGCTGATACCTAATTCCTCTATCACAACTTCTTTTACAAAGAAAAAATTTTATATTTTCTTAAAAGTTAAAACTGAAGAAAAAATATGATTTCACAAAATGATATCTATGATATCAAATTAGGAGTAAATTATTAGATTATCAATGAAACTGATTGGGGGCGGGGAGGAGCCAAGATGGCGGAGGAATAGGACGGGGAGACCACTTTCTCCCCTACAAATTCATCAAAAGAACAATTGAACGCAGAGCAAACTTCACAACTTCTGATCACTAGCTGAGGTCATCAGGCGCCCAGAAAAGCAGCCCATTGTCTTCGAAAGGAGGTAGGACAAAATATAAAAGATAAAAAGAGAGACAAAAGAGCTACGGACGGAGATCCGTCCCGGGAAGGGAGTCTTAATAGAGGAAGTTTCCAAAGACCAGGAAACCCTCGCACTGGCGGGTCTGGGGGAAGTTTTTGAATCTCGGAGGGCAACCTAACTGGGAGGGGAAAAATAAATAAAACCCACAGATTACGTGCCTAAAAGCAACTCCCAGCAGAAAAGTAACCCAGACACCTGCATCCGCCACCAGCAAGTGGGGGCGGAGAGGAGCGGGCGGCATTGCTTAGGGTAAGGACCCGGCCTGAGTGCCCTGAGGGCAATCGGAGGGAGCTTTTGTGAATTACCAAATTAAACTGTGGGACAGCAAAAGAGAGAGAGAAAATTAACCAGCCCGAACAGGCCATTCATAGAACAAAGGGACCGAGCAAGTTCAGAGGAGCTAGGCAGCTGTGGACCGGCCCAGCTCCGCCGGAGGCAGGAGGCAGCGGGGAGGGGAAAGGGGCAGGCTCGGCCCCAAGGACTGCATCCCCTACCACACTGCAAACAGGCCTTCAGTTTCTAAACAAAGACTTCCTGAGATTCTGGATGGTCAACATCCACCGGGAGGGTCGCAGCTAGACACAGGGCGCACGCACCCTACTGGCACGGGCTGGGACTGGAGCTGGGGACTCAGAGGGGAGAAGGCACACGCACCCGGGGAGTGTGCGCCTGTCAAACTCCTGGCTGTCTGAGCTGCTTGGACCGGGGAAGGTAAAAAACGCAGGCACAGCCGAGTCCGCGCTTTTGTGGAACACCCGAGGGCTGGAACCTCGCACAGCGCACGGCAGCGCAGGGCACAGCACACTCCATATAGAGCAGCCGGAAGCCTGAGCAGCATAAACAGGGAAAGCAGCACCAGTCCCTGCCGCAGCGTGACGGAACTAGCAACCTGAACAAGAGACCACCTCCGCCCGCCTGTGTCAGGGCAGAAATTAGGCACTGAAGAGACTGGCAAACAGAAGCCAAATAAACAAAGGGAACCGCTTCAGAAGGGACCGGGTACAACAGATTAAAACCCCTGTAGAAAACACTGACTACACCGGAAGGGGACTATAGATATCAAGAACTGTAAGCTGGAATGAGGAGCTAGCTGAAACTGAACCGAAACCACACTGACCGCAACAGCTCCAGAGAAATTCCTAGATATATTTTTACTTTTTTTTTAATTAAAAAATTTTTTTCTTTTTTATTTTTTCTCTTTTATTTTCTTTTAAAATTCCTTATTCCCCCCCCCCCATTACTCCTTAACTTTCAATTTCATAGATTTTTGCGATTTTTTTTAATTAGGAAAAATTTTTTTTTCTTGTTATTTTGTTTTACTTTTTTCTTTTTCTTTTTCTCTTATTTCCTTTTAAAGTCCTCTATTACTCCTCTACTACTCCTTAATTTTCATTTTCATTTCACTATAACCTTGCAAAAAAAAAAAAGCCCTATTTTTAAACCAAACTTCATATACATTTCTAAAAGTTTTTGTTTTTGTTTTTAATATTGTATTTTTAAGAGTCTAACCTCTACTCTAGATTTTTAATCTTTGTTTTTCAGTATGTGATATAAATTTTGGACTTTTAAGAATCCAATATTCAGTTCTCATTTTTATTCAGGAGTGTGTTGATTACTCTCTCCCAATTCTGACTCTCCGTTTTCTACCACAGAACACCTCTATTTCCTCCTTTCCCCTTCTCTTCCCAATCCAGTTCTGTGAATCTTTGTGGGTGTCTGGGCTACAGAGAACACTCCGGGAACAGACAACTGCGTAGATCTGTCTCTCTCCTCTTGAGTCCCCCCTTTTCTCCACCTGCTCATCTCTATCTCCCTCCTCCCTCTCCTCTTCTTCATGTAACTCTGTGAACCTCTCTGGGTGTCCCTCACGGTGGAGAATCTTTTCACCATTAACCTAGAAGTTTTATTATCAGTGCTGTATAGTTGGAGAAGTCTTGAGACTATTGGAAGAATAAAACTGAAATCCAGAGGCAGGAGACTTAAGCCCAAAACCTGAGAA